TATTTCCCACCCTTGGAGTTGACAAACTAAGGCAATTGGCAGTATTTTTGTATTTATTGTATTGTATTTTGTATTTTCCCTTGGAGTTGACAAACTAAGGCAATTGGCAGTATTTTTGTATTTATTGTATTGTATTGTGTATTTCTACTGTATTTAGCTCTCAGCTCTCGGTGAGACTTCTATCACTAACTTCAAATATTAGGAAATAAAATCTGTAACACTAAAATAAAATAAAATTTACCCATGTTTGCGACAAATGAATACACTACATTTTTTTTTCTGTTTTCAGTGGCAATTTGTAATGTTTCTGGGTTTTTGCTATCATAGCAGTTGACGTGTGTGTGCTGATGCATACGTACAGGAATTTCTTTATGTCTGATGGAAAAAGAATGTAGGGCACATGAATGTCGAACTTCAAGATAATGACAAGCTGTTTTCCAAGTGTTTAAACCAAATTATACTCCCATTAACACATAATAAAATGTCCAGTTAATCTTTATCCTCAATATTTGACTTTCAGAATTTTTTTCTAATCTTTTTATGTTGGTATTTTGTTGCCTTAGTGTTTTCTTTGTAGGAAATTTTGAGCCAGTTATTTGATTTTTCTCAAGTTACAGTAGACTTTCTGTTTTAAAATAAATTTGGAAAGCTATATTTTTGCAAACTTGTTTCATGTAAGTTTTTAATTCGTGGCACAAAGTTATTCTTTGTATTTTTCTTATTTAGGAGAAAGAACACTTATTTTTATCCTCAAGTTTTTTTATGAAAAACCTATAAAACTCTTCTCTATCTATTCTATCTACCTCCCTATCAAGTAACCAATCATTTACCTTTCTATATTACATATAGCCATGGGTCTGTTTCCAGACTTTCTATTGTATTTCTTTGGTCAGTTTATTTCTGTGCAGTGCTGTTGTAATTACTATTAAGTGCACACTATACGGTTATAACAACTTAATTACTGTTATTTTATAATGAGTTGGTGTAAAGTAGGGCATCTCCTACACCTTATTTTGTGTCTTCACCAAGAGTATTGGTTGTTCTTAGCCCTTTGCTTTTTTTCCATACATTTTTGAATCTGAAAATCTGTGATTGTGATTACAGTAATTCCACTCATCCTTACAGTTCATTTTGGAAGAATTTATATAATTATAATGAGGTCTGTCTAGGAACTTAGAATACCTCCATTTAAAAAATTTTCTTTAACATACTTTAAATTTTTGTTTGTCGATCTTTTATATCTTTACTAAATTTTATTTGGTAAATTTACCAATTTACTATTAAATTCTAGAAAGCTCAACACAAAGAACTTCACATACATAGGGTTTTATTTCCTTATGCATTCTTTTTATAAATATTATATTTTGGTAAATTTGGAAAATTAGTGAATTTTATTTTAAGGTAGCTTATAGTTTTAGATACTGTTGTAAATGGTTCTTTTAAAAAATTGTGTGTTCTAACTGTTCATTGCTTGTACATGGAAACAGAAGAGAATTTTAGATGTTGACTCTATGGCCACTATCCAAACCGAATCCTCTATTTTGAAATATATGTTTTAAAACACATAAAAAGTAAAAAGAACAAGATAATGAACCAAGTATAATGAAAACTCAATTTAGGGCCTGGAATTTAGCTCAGTGGTTCTGCTGCCTGCCTTGCAAGTTCAAGGTCCTGAGTTCGATCCCCAGTACCAAAAAAGAAAACTCAATTTAACAGTTATCAGTTTATAGTCAATCTTGTTTAATGTTTCTCTGTTCACCATTCTTCCATATTACTTTGAACTGAATCATAGATATCCTTTTATATTGTATATCTTCTTAAAAAGAACTTTAAGAAAATGAGAATCTCATACACAGAATAATTAATAGTAATTAACTGATACCATAAAACCTCCGGTCAGGGCTCAAATTTCCAATTATCTTTAAATGTCATTTATTTTTCAGTTTATTTGATTTAGGTTCCAAATAATATCTGCATATATCAGTTGGCTGGTTATGCCTTCTAAATCTATTTTAATATAGAATCTACTTCTTGTTTCTTTTTAAAAATTTGCAGTGTATTTGTTGAATAACAGATTTATTTTATCCTGTAGTGTTAGGGATTTCTTTTAGTCAAGTTGTTTTTTTCTGTATATATTGAAACAGACATTTGTATTTTTCCGTCTTTAATCTCTTAGTATAGTAAATGGCATCATAAATATGTAAACATTAAGATATCCTTATATTCCTGGAATAACTAAACGATCATGGTGTATATTTTCGAATTTATTGCTGTTTGGTTTTGCTGATATTTTAAGATTTTAAATTTACATTTCTGAGTGAAATTGACTTTTCTTTTTATATTGTTGTTCAGTATTGATACAACTTTTTACTTGGATATATTTCTCCACTATTTTTGTATACCAGTACTACATTGTTTCTATTGTCAAAGGTTTAAAGTATGTTTTAATATCTAATAAGGCTAGCCATTGCTCTTTTTCTTTTTCATTGCTTTCCTGAAAAGATAAGCATTCAAGAGCTTTCCTTTAATATTTATTTTTTTCATGTAAACCTTAGGATCAACTTGCCTACTCCTTGGGAGTAAAACTTACTGGCGTTTTAAATTAGGGTCATATTCAATTGATTTAACTTGGAATAACTGATACTTTTATGATATGCCATCAAATAAAAACTCATGTTAGTTATTGATATAACAGACTATGTTTCTATGCAAATTTTGTATCTTGCCACCTTAACTAAATTATTGTTTCATCGATTCTCCAGGTATATTGTTATATCACCTCAAATTAAAGTAGTTTTAGTTCTTTTAAATTGTTATGTCTCTAGTTATGTTCTATAGACTAATTTTGATGGCAAATTACTCCAACAAAATATCAAAAAATAATAGAGGCAATGAGCTTCCTTGTTCCTGACCTTAAGGAGAGTGCCTCTAGAAGCTAAGGTGCTACTTTAGGGACTGACATTTTTGTGTTATATAAGAGTATCCATTAGTTCTAATTTTTATTGAGAATGTTTATCAGGGACACATTTTTAACATTTCAAAGGTTGTTTCAGCCCCTCTGGAAATATTCATATTATTTTCTCCTTGGAAATATTAGAATGGTCAGTTACATTTATGAGTTTGTAATATTTTAAATTAATTTTATCGGCACATTTTAGGTATACAATATAATGACATTCATCATTGGAAATGTATACCTTTACATATGACATTGTATTATTTTTGCCAATATTTTATTTATAATTTTTGCATTGGTATTTATAGATGTATGTGTGTATGCATTATCTTTATCAGGTTATACTTGATTCAAGAAAGTCAGTTGACTGTTTTCTCTATTTGTTATACACTAAATCAATTCATGTTATTTTGGTTTATTAATCTTGAAATGTGTTTTTGCTTTTTGTTCATAGTATGGATGTTTAAAACCTTTCTCCACTGCAAAACAAAAACCTTTTTCTAGTCAGCTATAGTTCCTTGTGAGAAGTAGACAGGGTGGAAGGGTTTAACCTTTAAAGTCAAACGGGAAGCAAGAAATGAAAACTAAGGGACCTGCAGAGACCAGTCATTAAATCAAAAGATACAAAAGACCCTTCCCACTCAAATGATGAGAGCATTGATTTAAATAAGTCGGTACCCTCTCAACTCTCAGAACTGTACTTAGGGTTTTCCTATACAAGGTGAGACTTTGAGACTTTAACTTTCTGTTAAAAAAAAATACACCTTAGAATGGAATGCCATTCCTTTGCCAGCATTCTGAAAGCTCATTTCTTCACATCTCTGTCACACCTGGTACTGACTTTCATTTTAGATATTCTGGTGGTTGTTCAGTGGGATTTCATTGTGCTTTCCTTATATTTTGTTGGTCACTAATAATCACTGATTCATATTTTTACTAGCTACTGGATATCCTTTATAAGAAATTATCAAAAGCTCTAAAAAGAGTTCTGAGGGTTTTATTTCCTTTGTGTCCATTTTCCATTGTGTTGTATAATGCGTTATTTCTTGTCTCTGGTGCCTTATACAGTATTTCCTTGTTGAGTGCTTGGTGATATATTATTATAAGCTCATTTTTTTTTCTCAATCTGTAGAAGGCCTTTGATGTAAACATGTTATGGTTTCCTTTGGAGAGAATTGTCTTTTGCTATTCCTGGTATTCGGGGAATATTGATAATCTAAAATTTCTTCCCTTTGACAGTAATGGGTCAGAAAAGGTCCAATATGATCCATACTTTGCACCTTATTACTAGCCCAAGAGTTGTTTAGTTTGGTGAGAATGATGTTGCTTATATTATCTGCCCTTAGGACTGCTTCACACTCCTTACCTGATTTCAGATCCTAGCTCTCTACCTCCCCAGTTACAGCTCATGGCTTTTAATTATGTTTTCCTTTTTGGAAGACATGTTAGTCATAATACTAGAAAAGAAAATAGTTTCTTCACTGTTATCCACATTAAGTACAAGTATAAAAGCATTTTAAAAATTAAAATTATATAAAAGATTACTTAATTGATAAAAAGGATGATTAATGTTGAATTCTACCTCTCAAATTTAAGAATGTATTTTAATTATGTGTCTATATATTATAAAGTTATTTTTAAATTTTAGAGCAAGTAGATATGTCAAGGATCATTTGTTTTTACTTTAAAAATATTCACGTGAGATTTAGGAGATACTAAATGATTAACCGAGCTATTTAACTTCTTAGTGGCCAAGATTAAATCAGAAGTCTTTAAAGAAGGAACTACATTTTTTCCATTAAACTGGAATTACCAAAAAATTATTAAATATATGTTATTTATTGTCTACCTTATTGCCTTTTTGGTATTTTTCCCCTCATATTTTCATATAGTCCTTACAGAACAATAGAGAATAAATTCTATTTTTTTAGTTTGAACTTCAAATTCTGATTTTTTTCAAGCTACAAACCTTCTCTCTGTGTAATAAAAATTATTATAAAAGTTAGTTGTTCAACTAGTAATATGAAATTTTCTTTTAAAACAGACTTAAGAAAGAATTAGAACTTTATAAGGAAGACGACATGGAAAGTGTTTATGAAACTCTCCAAACAGAAATAGAATTTTTAGAGATGGTAAGGTATAACTTGATTTTTTAACTTCTGTTTAGCATTATTTTAACCTCTGGTAAGGATGATTTTACTAAATTATATTCTTGAAGCAGTTCTTTGCTCCTCTGCAAAACCCAAAAAGCAATAATGACTAAAACTAATGTCAGGATATAAATTCATGAAATGTTTTGAGTTCCTGGAGAGTTAGGTGCTACATAAAGCAAGCTATAGTCAAAGAGAATATTTACAATTTCATTCTAAGTTTAAAAAATTTGAATCTGACCTTACATTTCCTTGACTGAAATTGTTGTGTTATTAGAGGATTAATGCACTGAATGAGTTTAACTATCATAATGCTTAAAAGCTTTTTGTTTTTGATAGTGATAAATTATACTTTTATGATATTTGATTCTGAAACTTTCTTACTATAGCCTTTTATGATCTCAGAAACTTTAGATTCATTTATTAGAAATTTATTTTCAGATTGTGTGGGTGCACTTTAAATTACTGCTTACTTTGATTTTATAAAATTAATACAGTATTTGCCATACTGTATTTTAATACAAGACATATATAGATTTAAAGTATGTTAAAATATAATTTTAGTTTAATATATTACATTTTATTTTATATGTATTTTCTATAAACATTTTCTTGTTCAAAAAGTTCCAATTAAGTTATGTTTAGATTTATGTTTTGTGTAAAACATTGAAAATTCAGAAATGCCAGAGTTGTTGCTGGGCTAAATTTAGATAAGTTTTGTGTAATTCCTTTATGAAGAATTTAGTTTGCACTAGAGATGTAGCTCAGTGGTAGAGTGTAGGATGTTTGCCTAGAATGTTCAAGGCCCTGGGTTCTATCCTTAACACCACAAAAAACAAGAATTTTCCTTATGGATATTTATTATATATTTACTTTTCAGACATTGGCACAGAAAAATCTTCAGAAAAACAACTTTTCAAAAATTAGTGACCCATCTGAGACTTGATCAAAGCATCTTAGAGTCAAATTGTGATGGATACATGAATGGTACCCATTACAACAGATTCATGTGGAAAACATGAGGTCCAGAATATTCAGAGATGTTCATAGCAACAATTAGTTTATTGCCACATCACAACAATAATGTTTCTGTCTTGTTGCTCTCTATAACTCAAAAAGTTTTGTATGGTATGATTTTGTTTCTAAATGGAGAGAAGGGAGAAGTAGATATTGTTTTCCCAGGCTTATATTCCCCTGACTCTTAAGCCAATCTATTCTTTCCAATCTATATTTTTCATTCTTTATTGAAGCTTACCTCAGACTTAGTCAAACACACATAGAAAGAAATGCTCAGATTATTGAATCATTTTTGGTACCATTTTAACTTAAAAGGTGCTTACTTCATTTTAATCTTTCCCTAGTCAGAAGATGTTCATTGACAGAGGTCCTTTGAGACCTTTCATCTGTAAAAGCCAGTTTTCTCCATTTTCTCTTTTGTCTTTGGAGTTAAAGACTAGGGCATCTGAAACTGTTTTCCAGCAATTTGTGCTTAACAGTTTTCTTCCTAATGCCAGTATTGGTTAGAATGAAAATAAGTTGTCTGCTAGGGGAGGTACATAATCTCCTTATAGCCATCAGGATTCATTTTTTCAAGTGGCATGAAAAATTATAATTGAAAATGGTACTTATGGTTAGATCAAACTTAGTATTGCACCATAGTATTGCAAATTTAGTATTGCAAACTTAGTATTGTTAGAAATTTCCAACACCATTTCTTTTTCCTCTGTTAGAACTCTTAACTAGGTAGAAAGATATATTTTCACTAGTGTCTAATAGTATTGTAGCTGTTCAGAAAGGCCTTATTTTAGGTTAGGTGAAGGAAGGGAACAAAATTTACACAATTTAAAATATCCAGTGCTTGTGTTAGAATTCTGATTTTGTGGTTGGACTTTTGTTAGTTAAATGTTAAATATGAAGTGTTCACAGCTGCCTTACATCCATTGTGTTAAGGTAGAATTTTTTGTTCTAGTTTCAGAGAAAGACTTATTTTTTCCTCTGATTTTTTATGAATGTGTTGTTTTACATCCTTATTTTTGAAAAATTAACCAAATGTAAAATTCTCCTTTGGGATGTATAGCAATTGCCATCTGTTTAAGTAATTTGCATTTTCAGAAGTGAGTCTTATTTTTTAAATATTTAAATGCTTAACAAGAAAAAAATAATTATTCCAGTGAATGGCAGTCTATTTTATATGCAAATATAGAGTGAAAAATACTTATTGGGACTGTTCCTGGCTTTAATTCCATCTTATTTGAGTTTATTTGTCTACCCATACTCTATGTCTTGTGAATATTTATTATTGTATGTATCTCATTTTTAACATGCAGAATGAATTTACACATAAAGGTTTTTTTGCTTGACAATAATATTGTTCATTATTGGTTTCGTAGCTAAAGTATTAGTGTGAACTGAGATCACCACCTATTTGTACTACTCACACACAGTGCCATATATGCAGAATAAACTATTACCGATGCTCCCGTTCTTTCACATTTGTGCCATGCAGAATATGTAGATGGAATATTCAGTAATACAATCAGGATTCAAATTTAACTTAAGAAGAAAACCCAAGGGTTCAGTGTTTTAATTATTTCAAAATGTTTTAAATGCATATTTTAAGATTTAAATTAATTTTCATATAATCAAATGAATGATTATTTTGGCACTTCATAGTAGAATAACATAATACACAACCTAAATAATATCAATCAAAATAGCTAGGACTATTTGAATCAATTTAATCAAAGGAAGAAGTTCTCTGAAGCAAAAGAAATGCAAGAATCAATAAAAGTCACAGTATACAAACTAAATTGTGTTATCAATGTAGCATACCAGCATTACATACGGTCTAGATTTTTAAAAAGAATTTATAAGTCATAAAAGTCTTAGGAAAATTATCTGTAATTTTCTAGATAAAAATATGTCTCAAGCTAAATTTAATGACTGGAAGTAAGGCAATTTTTAAATGAATGTACATTCTTTAAGTAAATTCTTTGAATTCATCACATACTTAGTTATAACCAAAGTGAAAACTATCTCAAAGTAATACGGATAACTGTTCTGGGATTCCTGGCATGCCACCATAGTTCTTTAATGAAACCAAAGTTCTTTCAGAAGCAACTTTCTAATTTTCAGCTCTCCACTGGGGATAATATTGGATTATATAGATAGTTTGCTGTCTGCCCCCTCTCCCCCCTGCTGATTAATGGAGCTATTTGGCCAGGATAAAAACAGTAACAAAATTATGGAACATGACCACTAGACTAAAATTTTCTCTCTTCCTGAAATGGGAGGAAAAAACAAAGAAAAGGAAAAGTTTAAGGTATGTATGATGGGAGGATTTCTATACTATCATTTTTTTGTCAATAGAACCGTTTTCTTCCATAAAAGAAAAAAAATTAGCGTGCTCTGCCTGCCTATTTTTTTCTTAGAACTTGATTAACCATGGTGAAATTCAGAAAGTCTAATGTAAGTTTGAAGTCATTGTATTATAATGAATCGAATCTAGAAAATAGAGTCAATTGGCATTGATAATGTATTATAGAGTGGTAATTATTCTGTGAATTATGTTGTGAAAAATCTATTGAATCTTACCAGATGGGCAAGCAGGAATTCAGCTGCTAGGACAGACAACATGCACTGGACAGGCCCTGTTCTAAGTTTTGCTGAGGACAAAGTCCCTTTCTATTTCATACCAATCAATCATACATAACTGTGTCACACTATGATGAATAAATCATTTCTTTGCAGTCCGGAAAACAGTAGCAGTTCAGTGACATGATTAAAAATAAATATGAGACAATTTTAATACTGGGTATACTAGGGTAAGGTGTTCTTTCTAATATATATAGTTTGAAATTTGAAGTTGTTCAATACACTAAAACTATTTTAACATTTGAAGATGATCTATTTTAGCCAAACTTTTATGTTTCATTTTTGACCCATCTTGTCTCTTTCATCATCCTGCAAAACTTAAGTGAACCAAATACGTTTGCCTCTCAGAGTCTAGTTCAGAACATTTTCTGTCAAGGGAATTTCTTTCAGGATGTGAACTAAAAGTGAAAAATATTCTTTGTCATTAGCCTGAAGCAGAGATTACGTCTTGAATTTTGTGCCCCTTTTATCTTAAGATAATGTGTGTGCACACATGTGCATGTGTGTGTGTGTGTTTGTGTGTGTGTGTCTGTGTGTGTGTATGGTAGGAATGGGAAGGATGAAATTACCTTTCAAATTTTTGAGATAGGAACATATAGTTAGCTGCATCTATGCTTTCTAAACATTATATTTTCAAGGTAACTAAGTTTATGTTGGTCTAATGGTCACCTCATCATTACAACGAATAAGCTTTATTTTCTTATTTGATTTACTAACATGACAAAAAATAGCATTGAGACAATGTTAACTAATACTATATGAAAGAATAAAAAATATGAGAAAAGGAAAAACATGGAAACAAAGTCTATGTAAATAGGGAAGGCCAGAGGGGGTGAAGGGAAAAGGGCAGGGAAATGGGGAAAAAACAAGAACCAAGATACATCATGTAAAGCTACAAGATCTTAGTGATGAATGTACCTGTATTGTATACCTAAAATGTACCGATAAGCTTAATGGAAAATAAATTTCTGTTGTTCATTTTATAGAGGATCACATTTATTAAATGTGAGGAAAGTGTGCAGAGTATTGTGTGTTGAAGAACATACTTATTTTTTTGGAGGAAAAAAGAGAGCATAACAGAAAGCCATGACTGATGACAAAATTCTGTCCCAGCTGCTGCTATGAAAAGTATCAAGAGCAAAACTGTCAGAATTGAATGTTTACTTAACCAACTGTCCTTGGTATACAGCAAATTTATCTTTAATAGATCTTTATGAAATCAACAGTGCCAGAATTCAGATGTCTAGGAAAATAAAGAATAAAGTGGGAAATTAATAACAATGACTGACATAAGTAGCTGTTCCAAACCAGGCCCACAGAGGAGAAAATTATTTATATTCTTACTATCCGAAGAGCTACCCTACTCTAATGATTCTAAGTTATTTTCAGACTTGTAATACATTGTCATTGTAATTACTTGGTAAATAAAATTCTGTTAAAATAACATCCTCTTAATTTACATTTAATAAATGCAAATGCAGCTACTAATAATATTTCTGGATATGGCTTTGTGACCACTGAAAGTATTCACAGTATCAAACCACCACTAAAGAGTGTGGTTGCTGACATAGATTTTATTGATGTTAGAAACACCCCTGATTGGCTTTGGATGACATTGGGAAGTCATAGGATCAGTGTAATGTCATCTGTAAAATCTAGTGTCAAGCAAAATTTGTAAAATACTGAGGTTTTATTGTTTTTAATGTTTTTACCTGATAAAGTCAAAGCTCTTGCCAGGTATTTAGCTCAGTGGTGTTGCCTCCTGCCTTGATGGATGATCTGGTTTGTGTGAGGTCACAGAGCAGTGAGCTTCTTTACAGTTTAATTGCTTGTACTTCTGTTCTGACATATCTTAAAGTATTTGGCTTTGATAATTTGTTTGTTATAAAATTTTCACAGGTTAATATTAGAAGATAAGATAAATTCAAGAATTGTTGAAATCATTAAATCATACCTTTGGTACCAGAAAATGCTGATTAATATGAATCATTAATTAAATAAGAATATCTTTCTACACTCCTGCAGGAGAATTAAATCAGTACAAAACAGACTTAAATCTAATGTTACTGAAAATTGACATTCTACTTATCTCTTAAAAGTACTGCCTATTCATCTCATCTTATTATATACAAATGTATTTTTCCAGTTGTCTTCTACGATCTTCGATATGTAAGATGATAACTGAGCTGGGTGCAGTGGTGCATTCCTGCAATCCCAGCCGTGGGGGAAGCTGAGGAAAGAGGACTGCCTAGTTTGAGTCCCTTCCCTGTCTCAATATAAATAAAAAATTAAAGACTGGGATGTAACTTAGTGGTAGAGCACCCCTGGGTTCAATCCCTAGTACAAAAAGAAACAAAAAATAACAGGTTTGGCAATTTCTGAAAATATAAAATAATAGTTACTTTACTATTACCATTCTTTACTACATGCTAAAGCAGAAATGTGGGCTAGCATAAAACTTCTAGAAAGATCAACATGTAAAAATAATCTCTAAGTAGAATTTAACACTCTTGCCCATTTCTTTTTTTTCCCATTTTATTCTTCCTGTCCCTTCTTTTTTCATTCACTCGTCCATCCACCCTGGCTTCTGATACCTCTCAGAACTCGTGTGTACAAGAAGGCTATTAACTCTTAGATTTATTCATAGGAAAATTGATACATATTGAGTATATACT